TTCACAGTGTAGACTTTACACTGAGGAGAAACTCCTGTTTCTAATATTTTAAGTAGCAAATAGTTATTTTCCATGTTTGTCTTCAATATGACAGCTATGTAACGGTGAAGACAATTTTTCTTCTAATTAATATGTTGCTCTTTCGTTTTTCCACTTGGAATTACACTGACACTTAACAGTCTGTCGCTCTCTAATCATAACCCACCATGATCTGTCGATGCAATCAACGATGTTTTTGGTTCGTCTACTATGTCTATTCTAAGGAAGTCAATCTGTATACTGTTTTGCTAACCAGGCTCATGGAGCCAATGGTTCATTTAAACGATCTCCGGCTGAATTCGAAATAGTTTTGGTGTCATTAACTTCCGGAGCCCAATCGTTATGACGATGAGATATTCCTTCCCAACTTCCAGGACTGAGTAAAACTCTCTTTATCTCGGTTCTTACGATTAGCAAGTGAAACTTCTCGTGTACATATTTACATCTGTAGCGTGGTGTCGAGTTGAGCTGAACTATGAACACCGCTACCAGACTACTTGCCAATAGACCAATAAAATTCCGGTAGGCCAAAATATCAGAAGGCAGATGATTGTAGTAGTCGTATATATTTGTTGGCAATCTCGTGGTATCGAAAGAATACCGAGATCGTGCCAAAGGAGTACAAGCGTGGTTACTGAGCGTAACCGGATTCGTACAAGTTCGAAGTCAACGGGAGAGTAAGTATAATGGCTGTCATTAGCACAGTTAAACAAACGAGCACAGTAAAACAGTCACTGGTACAATTGGTTATAATAATAATTGTTTTCATCGAACCAATCGCGTTCTGTTGACAAAAGTAGGTCACTACAGGAGCCCCCCGCTAGAAAGGGTTTACACTTTCGATAGTTAGCGGTTTGATTCGTGGGACTGATCGGCAGATGTGCGGTTGTAGGACGAAGGAAATTGGCGGAACAGGAAGTGATCGTTGATCCTCGAGTTGCCAACGAAAGTCTTTTGCGCAGAACGGTACCAGGAGAAGTGTGCTGTATTTGTTGGTCGAGTTAGCATACCAAACCAGAGTGGTTTGTATCCAGGATCTGATGATTGCGTTCGTATGGATGCGGACGAGAAAACGCTGCAGACGTAGGACGAAACCACGTTGAGCCAAGAAACCGGACGCGACCATAACTACCAAGCGTATGCCAGGCGAATTCGAGACCAGATAATCGACTGAGTGCGTTGACTAGAGCATGGGTGGCCAAACCAGCTTTTGCCAAAGTTGACTGAAGTCGACGTTATCAAATGGACGATGGTCGTAGGCGTGGGCTCAGGATACAAAAAAAAATCAAAAAAAAGAAAAGTGTAGCATGCGTGTAGTATAGGAATAATCCTACACCGTATCCGTTATTGACTGCGTTTAGTCGCAAAAGCGTACGGGTAATCGTACTCGGCGACCGGAACGTGAGACGGTGGTCTCGTTCGTACTTCGTGAGCCTGCGATCTCATCCGAGGTCAAGGGCGGCGTGGTCTGCCGATCTGGACGTGAGACGGAAGTCTCGTCCGTAGATGGTGCAGATGACGCGTGCTGTTGACCGGGACGTGAGAACGAGGTCTCTGATGTATCTAGCGTGGGATCCGAGGTAGACGTAGAGATCCCGCTAGAAGGTTTGATAGGTCTAGCATTGAGTCTCAAGTTATCGGGTAGGGCACTGTCATCGACGTGTGCTGGTTTGAGACGATCAATGCTGAGGATCTCGACGCGACCATGTCGATCAACCTTGAAGGTCTTTTCGTGACGAGAGATCACGTGACAAGGGCCTTCGTAAGGCTGTTGTAGAGGTTTGCGTACCGAATCTACTCGTATGAAAACATGTGAACAGGTAGATAACTCTCGAGGGAGAGCGACCTGTCGATGTTGTATTCGAGTTGACACCGGAGACAGCGTTCGCATAAATGCAGACAGTCGATGGACGTAGTCTGATTTACCGAAATCATTACTGCTCCGGGGTGTGAAGAATTCCCCAGGCAGACGCAATGTCGTGCCGTATACAAGTTCAGCCGCGGAACATTGAATATCTGCCTTCAAACTCGTTCTGATGCCTAAGAGAACGAGCGGTAAGGTTTCGTACCAATTGTCGTTTTCGTGTGCTCGGAGAGCACTTTTAAATTGGCGATGAAACCGTTCGACTAAACCATTCGATGCTGGATGGTAGGCGGTAGTGCGTATGCGTTCCGTACCAAGCAGCCTGGTCAGTGAGGAGAATAATGCGGACTCAAATTGTTGTCCTCGGTCAGTCGTGACAGTCGAGGGACAACCGTACAATGCTATCCATCGTTCTACGAAGCGGTGAGCAACTGTCTCCGCCGTGATAGACGTGATGGGAATAGCTTCGGGCCATCTTGTAAAACGGTCGATACACGTGAGTATGTGATCATACCCATGCGATGGTGGCAATGGTCCTACAATGTCTATATGAACGTGATCAAAGCGAGCATCAGGCGTAGCGAACGTGCCAATGGGGGCAGCTACGTGCCTGTGCACTTTTGATCGTTGACACTGTAAGCATTGCTTTACCCACATACGAACATCTTTATTCATGGACGGCCAGACGTATCGTGCAGCGATGAGGCGTAATGTGGCTGCGATACCTGGATGAGACAATCCATGAAGGGCATCGAAGACGAGACGGCGATAGGTAGAGGGTACGATGGGTCGAGGAAGACCGGTAGAAATATCACATAGGATAGTACCTGAGCTAGTAGCTAGGGGTACTTCCTGACACTGAAGGGACGAAGATTGTGGTGCTTCTGTACAGACAGGATCGTTTGCTTGCGCGGCGGCCATAGCAGGAAGATCGAGCACCGGTAAAGTAACTGCATTCGTCTGGATACGTGAAAGAGCATCGGCAACATAGTTCGACTCGCCTTTAATGTGACGAAGGTCTGTCGTGAACTGGGAGATATAGTCCAAATGTCTGCACTCTCGTGGTGAGTAGCGGTCAGACTTGGTATGCAGGGCATACGTTAAGGGCTTATGGTCGGTGAATAAGATGAATTGACGTCCTTCTACTGCGTGCCGGAAATGTTTGATGGTGCAGTAGGCTGCAAGCAGCTCGCGACCAAAAGCGCTATATCTCGTCTCCGTGGGAGTAAGGCGTCGTGAGAAAAATTCAAGCGGTTGCCAACTACCGGAGATATTCTGTTGCATAACGGCTCCTATAGCGAAATCTGATGCATCAACCGCTATACTAAGCGTGGCTGATGGGTCAGGATGAGCGAGAAGTGTAACTTCAGCGAGAGCCGTTTTGATCTCTGAGAATGCAGTACGTGCGGTATCGTTCAGTTCTAATTTGCGTGGATTACCGCGTAGTAAATCGGTTAGTGGTCGTAACCGTTCTGCCGCGTGAGGGATAAAACGTTGGTAGAAGTTAACCAAACCGAGAAAAGCCTTCAGATAGACGTTGGAATAATAGCGTAAGGTGTTGATAATGTTCATCTACGTTTGATGATGCGATCAGCAGGTCATCAATATAGACGTGAACAAAATCCAAGTCTCGTACTATGCTATCGATAAACCTTTGAAAAGTTTGAGCAGCATTCCATAATCCAAATGGCATTCGTAGGAACTCAAACAGACCGAAAGGAGTCGTGATAGCAGTTTTTTCGATGTCTTCAAGAGCGACTGAGATCTGGTGAAATGCTCGTACCAGATCGATTTTAGAAAAGATAGTCGTGCCCTTGAGCGATGCCGTGATGTCGTGTATGTGGGGGATGGGGTAGCTATCAAAGCGCGTAACTACGTTTAATGCTCGGTAGTCGCCGCAAGGTCTCCAACTAACCCCATCCTTTTTGCGCACCATGTGTAAAGGAGAGGCCCAAGGACTGTGAGAAGGACGAATAATACCAGCAGATAGTAAATTGTCAAACTCACGTTTAGCGAAAGCTAATTTGTCCGATGCCAGTCGGCGTGGTCTTGCCGTGACTGGTGGTCCGCGGGTGACTATGTGGTGTACCACACGATTGGTCACCGATGAAATCTCCTCGAGTGGTTTAGTTAATGTGGGGAATTTCTCGAATAAGGCGTGGAATTTATCGTCACGCGAATAAAAAGTTCCGAGGATTCGGTACGCGTACATCGGAGTCTATCATATTAATACTATTCTTATCGTTATCCGTCATGTCAAATATATATATTAAAAATTAATATGAAAATATATGACAGACGTGGATAGAGAAAACAATAGACTCACCGAATTGCCTTCTTTGAAAGATTTGACCGAGGTTGAGGCGTGTTCCAATATTTGGGTCACCAAATGTAGCGTGGTGTCGAGTTGAGCTGAACTATGAACACCGCTACCAGACTACTTGCCAATAGACCAATAAAATTCCGGTAGGCCAAAATATCAGAAGGCAGATGATTGTAGTAGTCGTATATATTTGTTGGCAATCTCGTGGTATCGAAAGAATACCGAGATCGTGCCAAAGGAGTACAAGCGTGGTTACTGAGCGTAACCGGATTCGTACAAGTTCGAAGTCAACGGGAGAGTAAGTATAATGGCTGTCATTAGCACAGTTAAACAAACGAGCACAGTAAAACAGTCACTGGTACAATTGGTTATAATAATAATTGTTTTCATCGAACCAATCGCGTTCTGTTGACAAAAGTAGGTCACTACACATCTATGCATTTCATTTTTTCGCACATACAGGCGTTTTGTGATATTTATTCGAACCATCAATCGATTACCGTACTAAAAAAAGGACGATTGTAACATCTTTAAGAGGTAAAATTTATGGAGAAAGTGTCTAGTAACAGAAATATATTGAGAAATAATACTGAGACTTACTCCAACTGAAATATTGTTAAATGTACTTTGAAACGTAACTTATACATAAGTTATACACGTAAAAGGTGATCCAGATGTGATGAAACTTAGTATGAACCTCAGAGACTTTGAAATAAGATGTCAGTCAGTTTTTGACCTTGCTAACTGTTTTATTGCGCTAACTGCGCGATGTATCTAGACGCAGAGCAAGTAGGCACGATTTTAAAAGGCTAGAGAATTGTCCAAGCATGGCGACATTCACGTGTCAAGTTTATTATCTGGATGATAGGGACCCTTTTTCGTGTAATTCTCTGTCGCTTTTGGAGCCCATTAAACCGATATCATTTACAATTTTAATGGAGCTCCCATTAAGTAGTCAGCTTCCTGCAATTCATAAAATCCTACACCCGCCACATCGCGTAATCTTCTTTAAAACTAAAATATTTTTTGTTTTAGCTCGAAGACAGTACACTCCAGCTGTACAAGTTCGGTCAGGCTCAATCCGAATTCGGTTCATACCTGGATCTTGACTCTACATTACAGGAGCAATGGGAAGATTTGGAAATATCTGCCGATCAGTGAGTCTTTTTTTTATCTGTGTTTATTCAATCACACTCAATTTGTGCATAGTCTCCTGTGATGTTATGCTATTTTGATCTCGAAAAATCCCGAATTTTACATGAAATTCAATATCTTGTTTACTAATATTTCACATAATTACTAAATTATTGAAACAGCATGAAGACATGGTTTTGTTTTACAAATGTTTAAGGTATAAGACTAGAAAATCGACACTTTAATGCTCGTATGAAGAGAAAAAAATTTCATAGGTAAGTGATAAATAATCAGTTATTCTGCTTTTGCCTGAAGTTGGCAATATCTGTACAGCCTCATCATTCTTGGTCTGATTTTACGTTTATTGTTCAGTTTTAAAGGAAAGACGCGATAAATATGCAGGTCTAACGCTCCTACTAAGGCTTGATACAAACGAATCATACCACATTAATTTGATCTACTACAGAACAGCATTCATGTCCTGGCTAATTCATGAGTTTGATTGTATCCTAAAAGTGTGTATTTGGATAGTTTTTCAAGTTCTAACAAACGTGCCTTATTAATTCATGAGTTTAGAATGACATCTCTCCTCACTCAATTGGTGTTTTTTTCATATCACGACTCCTGATTCGCTCACAACTGTTCACTGTAAAATGTTGGTTTTATGAAGCTGCAGTATATGCATGTTCAGTTTGTTTTCATTGTCTTCGTGATAGCAGCTGAGTATATTTGATCGCCTTATGTGTCTCAACAAATCTGTTTCTTCGTGAATGTTTCATTAGTTAGCGAGCTTCTATAACTCATTTTAAAGTATCTCAGTCAAAAAATGTAGTATCGTGGGAAGTTATTCCACGTCACAGTACTTTTACTTAGACGACTTTTGATTCAGTCATTTCATAAGCTGCCAGTGAAGTTTAACTGATTTGTCAGTCAGCCTGAACTCAGGCACATGACTGGATTCAGTCCCACAAATTTCTACTGCAAAAGTTTTATTTTCGATCCTGGAAACACGTGACGCAACTGTATTATCTTCATCATAAATAGACTGAGCGAAAACTAAAAATTAAAGATCTATCTGTTCATATGTCAATATGGGTTTCAATCCCATCAGTATGCTTTGATTTTGCTCAACCTTTACGAATCCTTGTCAAATTTTGTCTATGTGTTCAAACATTTAGCTCAAAATATATCCAAAGTCTAAATTTCACTGCTCCAGGAAGTGCAGTACATGTCTCCATATGTTCAGGGACTTAATAGTGAGTGTCACCAACATTTCTTTTCTCAACATGTAATGGCTTATATACACATTCAGAAGAGGTCTTTCAAAACAAAATGTCTTTAGTAAACACTTTAGTAACCTTATGAGTAGGCTAGACTTTTCTGACTCTTCTAGTTTATATTCATAAACAGTAGATGTGACATAAATGATCCTACCATATTGTCAGTCAGATCCCTTATACTTCTCACGTTTGTCTTTCCCTCTTCCAAACAAATTCCCACTTTTGTTTCCTGGGTACTTGATTTCATTAGAGATTGGAAATGTTTACAGTCGCACTAAAATCTTCTAGAACTTCTAGCTTAATAAAAATGATTTTAATCATAATTAATAAGAATCATTATTCGCTGTTGCCGTCTAACAAACTGAAAATCTTATATCTTTTGATTGCCTAGATGATTTAGGAAGTTTTCTGACGATTCAGAATATTTTACAAAACGTCTGATAAGATTGAAACTTTTCATCATTGAAAATATTTTCATTTCTGGAAAACTCCTTTTCATCGAAAGCAATCGGTTAACTTATCAGATTAAGAAATGTTTTACAAGTTTTACCAGTAAGAAACACGTTCAATTTATTATAAACACTAAGCAAACACGTTGATACGCTAAAAGAAAGTAAATTTATCTGTTCTAATAACTATTGGCTAGATACAATAGGATTCGTGAGCACTACATAGGTTGTTCGTTGATATGGAGCGGTTTTTAATTGGACGACTGTCTTTTCTTATATTTGATGATAGACGGTAAACAATTGACTGGCAGGCAGATTTAGCTTCTTATCCACAATCTTTCTACCAACGTAAATGTTGATAAATCTTGTTTAAATTTATTGGGATAAAATTAATCTAACCAGCATTTCTGCGAGTCCCAGGGACTCTTTCACTCCTTTCTAATTATTGGAAGCAGTAGAATGCGAAGAGCATTAGTGAACATTTTTTAGTGTGTCCTCATGTCAAACTAAGATATTTATACCGTTACTGCTAATATTTTGATATTAACCTGATAGTAAACAAAGAAACCTACCGTGTTTTTAGAAAGTTTTAGTTAATAGTTTGAAATTACATATTTCATTAAAATTCTCCTAGTTTGAATTTGTTTTAATGATTGTAAACAGAGTAAAATATAGGCGATGAATAGTACTCAGGGTTGGCCCGCAATTATTCCAAACACTGATGATAATAGTTTGCTGATCCTAGGCTCTTTTTACCGATTTTCCTACAAATTCTACTCTTCTCCTTTCGATTACCTTTCGATGAACTATCTGTGTTTAGAACCGATATCAAGATAAACAATTCTCGATACCTCTTTCGTCTTTAGAGATGATTAAATGGGATTCTTTGTGTCTAAGATCTCCCATACTTTTAGGACTAATGAACAGCATTTAGATGACTAAATATTGACTTGTCAATCTCACTATGTTATAAGTTGTCTACAAGGAAACAATTAGTTCCTAAAAACCTGTTAGACTATTAACTGAGGTTTTCCATTTGATCATGGACTGTTGCTCTGGCCTACGTTGGTAGATTCAGCGTATCTAGTTGAGATAAGTGATTACAGATCTTGGATGACATTGGTCAATCTTTCATAGTGGCACAGATTTATTCACCCTTTATCTTGCTCTACGATTTGAGTTCCAGTATTTCTTTTGCATATACTTTTCAATCTCGTCTTGTTAAACCATATTCTCAATGTTTTCTTTGTCACTATCATTTTTACCGCAATTGATTAGACTCTATTACTACTCATCTTGTTATGTGGTAGTTTAGTAACTTGTGTTGACATATGTTTGTCCTAGATTCCACGTTAGTCATAATTGATTAGTACTTGTTAAGAGCGTAAGTTAGATAATTATTTTACTTAAATACACTAAACAGCTACTTTATCAATCTTATTTTATATACAGGGAGAACAGTGTTGTTCTTCGAACAAAGCTCGTTGTCCGTGTTAAAGCAATCATTGGTAAGTTTTAATTCTTAAATCTTATGATAAAATGTTTTTTTTAATTAACACTTTAATTTAACTTTATACAAAGTGGAAACTGTCTTTAAATAATTTTAACGACCATGTAACTTACCATTGTATTTACACATTTAGTCTATTGATTTATAGTTAAAAGAATATTTCTCAGTAACCCTGATATGAGCCTCAGTTTCCTAGGTCCTTTGACGAATGCACACTAATAATAGATATCTATCCAAGAGGACTAATATCATGTGCTAAATCAGCTGAGATCAAAAATACGTTACCAGCCTGACTGAAATGTACATCTTACGACAACTAACGAGGTTAGGAAAATGTATAACGAAATACACATAATTATCTGTCTGAATTTGTTAGTTAATCGCAGCCAACTGTGACTAAGCTTACATAAATTATGTTGTCAATCTTGATAAACTTGTACAGTTTCGACTTTCAGTTTTTTTGAAGCCAAATCTGTGTATTCGATTGTATATCACTGACGGAATTCTAACTCAAATATAATAATATTCGTCACACGAATCATGAAGATGGTGAACTCCATTTGATAGCTATGCTCCTGTTTCCACTGTCACTAGGATCTTTGTTAGATGAACAAATAACTATCACAGGAATATAATGTTTTCTCATTTGTCAGACAATCTAATTTTTGAATGCTTGAAGGATTTGAAAACAAGGTTTTCCATTTTGAAAGCATCTGTGATTGCAAATAATAGACAACTAAATTGAAAGAGAACTACACAGCTAAATTGTTTCACTTTGTAACTTAAGGGAAACATCTTGTTAGAGATAATTTTCAATCTGTCTAGTTATATACCAGCCATTATAAGACAACACCAATTGTTTGATGCTTTTCAACCATTAGGTTGTTTATCCTCATCCCGTAGTACCATTAGTTTGGACAGTCGGATAGTACCATAACCAACAGACACAAACAGTGAAGCTCAAAACGTTATCGTATAAAACTGTATTTGGCAAAATAGTCGAATTGTTATTATTATCTATTTGAAGAGATCTTGTGAAAATTGGTTTCATTTGTAGGTTGTAATGGTCATAGATTGGTGTCATTTATGGCACCGCTGAAAAACAGAGAACACTGGGCAGTTTTTTTGTCCTAGTGTGGGACCCTTCAATAGTGGCTATCTGAGTTCGGATTTGTCAAAAGTGAAACACTTTTCAGTACTTGCATTAGATGATCGTTGTGCTATATTACAAAGTAACTGAAGTTGTCATTGTACCGTTGGACGCCAGCCCAGCGGTCCTAATGTTTAAGAAGTCGCCTCAAGACCTGAAGGTATTAGTTTCGAACCCTGGTAAAGTCGTGTGTGTACGCTGCTGAGAAATGTTATATTTAGACTGAGCATCTATCCTGTGCTCCCTCATTTTTAGTGATACTTTAAATGAGATCAGTCTGTGAATGATACTATCTGTTATTATTATTGAATAAAATAATTTGCCACAGTGTGATGTAGAATTGCTAAACAATATAGAGAAAAAGCAAATAGACGTGGTAAAACAACTTGATATAAATAAGAATGTTTAACACTCAATTTATGTGCAAATTCCCTTGGACTTTCATCATATTTTCGGTCACGACTACCTTGCAGACATTTACCAAATAAATTGGGGAAACCTTGTTAGGTGCAATATGCTTATCCTACTTTTAATTACACTGATTAATTATCCACTTGTCAAATTAAGAAATTAGAATCTTTCATACATTACACCAGTAAGCTTTAAGAAACTGCATAACTTTCCTACTGCAACTACTAAGTTAACATTCATTAAAGTGTGTTTATTTTGAAATGTAGGTAGTAATATATTAAGGAAATTATAAGTAAATGTATTTCCTATAAATGGTGTTGAAATCTAAAGTGATTTTCTTAAACTTGTCAATTAAAAGTTATCTACAAGGACACTGAATCACTGAGCGTTCAACAACTAACTTTTGCCAATATAAACAAGTGAAAACTAATATAATCAAAATCATGTTTACAAATTACAGCTTGTTACATTAATTTGTATTCCATAGTCTAAAGGCTATGGTTTTTGTACGCTTAATGTTTGTTATCAATTATGAATTATGAATATTTTGAGTGAAACCGCTTTTAATTTTTAGGGTTAAAATTAAACGATCGACGAGTACCTAATGTCAATTTATCATAAATCATTTCAAGTCCTAAATAGAAGTGTACACGCTCATTACAATAATTTGACTGTATAAAGGTCGATATATATCGTATTTTTTACAGCAAATTATTGGATTAATCAAAATAAAGTTTTCAAAAACTTAGTTACAAATTGAAACTTTGGATTAACTCATCTTTAATCACTGAAATATGTTGACGATGGTATACAATCTTATCACAACAGTTATAAGTATCATTCGATCAAAATAACACTAGAAGAGGAACTGATGAATGTGAATAAGTGTTTAAAGAACAACAGATACCCACAATCATTCAAGTCACTAAAAATAAGATGATTTAACTATACTATTTAGTCAGATATTTTTTGAGCATTTCTAAAAATATAAGAATGTTTACAATTGATTTTCACTAAAAAATTATCAATGTCATGTTCGTATGGTCTTTTAGTGCTGACCGATTTCGATCGATCAAGTTGCAATATAGACACTGGTCTGTAACTTGATATCATGTGAATTATGTTAAGACCTGAGAACTTGATATGTACATTCTGACTGATACTAAAGGAATGGAAAAGCATCACATTGATCACTTCTTAGTTATCAGTTAATTGTAAATACTTCAGTTACAGGTTAAATAGCTCATTGTTAACATCTCAAACTGTGAAACTGGGCTCGAATTTCATAGGAAACTTCAGTTCTCTCAACAGATTCAAATAGAATTTAAAGTTTCAATATAAGAATGTCTCATAATTGAATAGCAGTATCAACTGGATAACAAGAGAACACTCGACAATTTGACTTTTTTTCAGTTTTTTAATACTGAACAACTACAACTAGAAAGTGGATCAAATTCATATATTTAAGATGAGAATATCATACCTCCAGAAACTAATTGAAAATGTAACTTGAATGTGTATTCAAAATGTTGCAATGCATAAACTATATTCATCTATGGTATTTAAAACTATTTATTTATTAAATGAATAAAATTATAGCTCTTATTGTACAAGTAATAATCTACTAACACGTGAAATTGGTTAACTTAACTTGATATCAATATTTCCTCACATGTCAAAAAGTCTTTATGACTAACCAACTTGAAGCATTTACGTTTCAAATGACGAGTTAACCTCAGTTTCTTGGAAATCAGTTAAGAACTAAAATATAAGCAAAATAATACTACTATTTTGTAAATATTGTCAAATTTATCAAATTTGATAGAATTCTCTGGTACTTCAATGTTTATCAAGCTACTATTATACTATGTAAGCTATTTTATCTGGATGATAACTAACGAGAAGTTATGATCTAGAAAAGTCAAATGAGTCTATTTTAAATATTTTTAGCGAATGGACGAAAAATCATGAACTTCAGTTTTATACTTGTTAGCAACTTCCCAAAGGTCTTATAAGCAACTATGAGAAAACTTAAACTTCCTCAAAGAAATAATACAAGTCAACCAGACTCGCATTTAAAAGAGCTATTACTAATGGATTCAGACTGAGTGTCGCTCATCATTTGAGATCTCTACAAAAACATCATTTCAGGTCAAATAATATAACATAGGGATCATGTTACACTATCATTCACGATGGATTTGAGCTAAACAAAATAATGAGTTACCTGTCAGTGATTATCTCATAGAAGACTACTAATCAAGAATTCAATTAATTTTAGTAGAATTTTTGCGGAACTCTGCTTATGTGAAAGTTATGCATTTCAATCAGATCTGTTTAAGTTAATTTTTATACCAATGTTCTTTTTCAATTCACTATATAATCTGGGACTGTAACAAACCTCTTAAACGCTACCTTGATGCGCCAAAGTTCCTCCGACTTGTTTCTCACCTTTTTCCAATATTTCACTGTCTAAATACAGTAGGATTGTATAATTACCTGTTTTCATCCAACATTATACTTCGGAGAATACTGTGTTATGCTTTATTGTTTATAAAAGTAAACATAATTTCAAATTAGCTAACGTGTTCTTGACAATTATAATTTATGTTCTTCTCCTCCCTATCAGAAAAATTATTGGATGCCAATGGTCGAGAGTTAAAACGTTCGCTCTTTTCATTAAAACAAATATTTCAGGTAGGTATATTTAATGCACATTTCTTTTAAATATAAGTCTACTTATTTTGATCATGAGTAAGTTCAACAGTATCTTATCGATTACAAGTACAGTTACTGTAATAGTGACTGTCTACCTACTTACGTATATATATATATATATATATATATATATATATATATACTCAAGTATTACATAGAAATTCATATTTATTTATGTAGAAGACAAACTAGTCGTCTATATAATACACCTTAATATGTCATTGAAATATTCGGTACATATGTATATTTTACAATTCATGTTGCGCATAGTTTAAAATTGTGACAATAAAATAGAATTTTCAATTTAGAAAATTTTCAGTTCTATTCCCAAAAGTTCTGTTCTTCAGACAACAAATTTTTCTTTAGAATGTTTGTCCCACTTGAATGAAAGTCAGTTAATGATAAATTAGTATTGCCATTAGGTCGTAACACTGGAAAAATCATGAATATATCTTTCATCTACATTTTTTTCTTTTGAAATTTAAGTTTGTATCAACCAGTATACAGAGATACTACGATATTAAATTGCTTCCTAAATAGATTTACGAAATATACACCGGTCGGTTTTTATATCTTAAAGGATCATTGACTAAAGTGTCGTTTACTGGTTTTTGTTTTAAACACTTTATATCGTTGTGTTGAATCGATAAAGTAAACAGAGAAGCTAACCCAGTACTCTATTAGTATTACTTATTATGGGATTATTTGGTTATTATATCAACAGAAAGTTACCATTATCGATTAGCAATCAGGGGGATAGTGTTTCAAATCCACCTAATTGATTATCCTTTTTTTTAAATCTTGTAAATTATTTGCACTTTTCTTTTGATCTTTTAATTTTCCTTGCGTTAGGATGACAAAGACCTTGTACATGAATTTGTTACACATTCCGGTTTAGATTGTTTAGTGAATGTTGGCTCTAGATCAGATCAAAATATACAAAATTATATTCTTCGAGGTAAGTAAAAGTGGACTTTTCTTTAATAGTTATTCAAAAACAATGACAATGTATTATTGTCGAAATTCAAATATACTTTAATTACAATAACACTTAAATCTCTCTCTTATCAATATTATTTTAACTTCTTAAATACCAAAGATTAATTAACCATTGAAAGTTGGAACGATCGATGTTAAAGTAGCTAGTAAACTTACTATTAAAGCCGAGTGTCTAAACAGAACAAAGAACCTATTTACCAAGTCCATGTTTGTTCACATAGATGTAAGTCCCACTTTCTTCGCCAGGTTCGACGGTAATACTTGACTTTCAAAATCACAGTATGATGAGTATTACTCAAATTTATTACCTTGTGTTTTAAAATCGAGCAGACTAAAACATTAAAAATAAGTGCGATACAGATTGTTTAACCTTCATTGTCGTTTCGTACTGCCACCGTTGTAGAGCAGTTTGTTAACGTCGAAAAATAATGGACTACACTAGTAATCCTCAGTTGACTATTTATTGTAAAAGCTATGTATTAAGTATGTTTTTTATCGATGTTTAGCACTTTCTTATTTCTTAGATTATTTATCTCATACATATTACGCTTCTGGTGGAGATCAACCCTAAGATATGTAGTTTTTAAAGAGTTTTCCTATAATTTTCCAAGCATTGCTATAGTAAGACGAGTAACATGGATGATAAATCTTACTTTTAAAAATGCTAAAACCCCAGTCTTAATTAAATCTCCTCTGGTATTAAAGGCTTCTCCCGTTCGTTCTTATCGGGGAAAATGATTAATATATACTTATTATAACAATATATTGTCGCTTTCTCGTTAACTAAATATAAGTTAATTAGTACTACAAACACACAGATATACACTCGCTATTACAAAAACAATATTGGCGAGCAGTCAGATAAATTGTTAATATAGTACTGATAACTCCATCAACGTTAAAATGAAAATTATAATATATGAATTAAGCAAATAGAACACACAAGATAGTAGAATGAATGTGGAATGATATAAATAGATATGTAGTGATATATCTGAGGTTATCTATCAGCATAAAATCAGACAATATGTGTATATATAAGAGACAGTTATGAATACGAGACTAAAATAGAAACGGTAAGTCTATTTTGAATTCAATAGACTGTTACCGTAATTGTTACTGAATTATAAAAACAATACAACCAAACTATGGTTTATCAAGGCAATTAAAAGCTGACTACTAGGTGTTAGATACTACTACAACTATGTTTTACTTCGGAGTTTTTAGCGTATCAAAGGAACATTGAGATTATGTCTTCTGATAAATAGATAATCCTTTATTTTTATATACCTCCAATCATACTTTATTTCAGTCAAGGAATAAGAGATCACGTGTTTATTTCTATTTCGTCATCTGAGAAGTGAATTTATCGGAATATATTCTCAAAAGACGAATAATCGCCTGACTGTCTTCTTGGTACTGCACGATTCAAAGAATACACTGAAAATTATTCTGTAAAGTTTTAAGCAGTACAAGAAAATTATTTATCTACTGAAAAAGTTATGTGTGAATAGTTTACTTAATGTAACGAAGCAAATACAATTTGCAATCGTGAATCATCTCTATCTGTTATATACTTTTCTTTTGAAGTGAACACTGATTCGGCACTCAAATTGTTCTGATAGATTGTAGATCCGAACTGCATCCACCTTCTGCCTTGATTTAACAGCCAAGTTGTTTTACTAGCCCTTACTCTTATTCAAGATCATATGAATTTTTCTACAAAGTTTACGTACTGGATATTTTGTGAAACTATTTGAATTAGCCTAAAGTGTACACTAATTTATTTGTCTATAAACGACATTTTCCCTTTATTCGGTTTTATTCTTTAATCCATCTTAACTCTGTATTGACAGTGTTTCAAGTATTTATAGGTTTGGTATTATATACTATCAATTTTATTGAAAAAAGATCATCTCACACTCAGTTTGGGAAATCATTTGTATAATTTCATTTTTTAAAAAAGTATGAGAGCTCAATCATCCAAGTTTTTGATTAGCTAAGGAATCTCTGTGACAGTGCGTTGTACACGCAAATTGTTTAGATAGTAGTGTAACCACTGTATTAACATCACTCTATTATTGTTTCATTTATTCAAATATATTTTAGAGTAGGGGAATTCGTAGAGATTTTAGAATTTTCAGACTTGAAATCTCGAATTGATTGAGCACTATTATGAAATGATTCAAGTTAGACACTGAGACTGATAGATGATGGGGCAGTGGTCTAGAGTTTCGGACTTTCACGCGCAAGACCGAGAGACATGGGTTTGATCCCGGGTTCATGAGTTGTGGATGAATACTTCTGGGAAGTCCTTTAATAGAGCGAAATGACCGTCCAGTATTTTCAGGTTTTCAATAGTGTTCTAGTTAAAATCTGTTCGTAGCATAAACTAAAAAATGTATATTTTTGAACTAAGTGTCTTTATACAGTCCTCATAATTTTTTTCAATTTATTACTTTGTTATAAGCTTTGGGGCAAATTATGCTCTATGTTGATGGAATGGCTGGAGTGATTGAACATCCAAATATTCTACGATGGTTATATTCTTTGTTAACGTCTAAGGTAAGTTAATAACACTTTCGATAGGAAAATTTACGTGCATTAAAGCTTACCGTTCACTTACCTTTGATAATTTGTACCCTACTTTAGAATATCCATGTCATACACACAAATACGTATAAGTTTGAATTTCACGGTGGACAAGACTTCTCCAAGTCTCTAATCTGAACTATAATGTTGCAAATTATCAACTTTGATCACATATTTATTCAGTGTTTGGTAGTTAAGGGTGGTTTTTCGGCTGAAGTTAGTTTATGACGAAAGACCAGTGAAACTGAACATCTCTAAAATGTATGAGTATCCATAAAATTTCGTTAAACATGTTCCGAATTCTCTAAATAATTTTTTAAAGATAAAGTTAGACGGAAAAAGGTATATGAAACATAACGTAATTATGTGATTAATTCAAATTGCCATACATTCTGTCATGAACATGAACTAGGTAAGTTGAACCATGGATAGTAAATGAGCAATTTCAACGTAGTACAAACGGGCATTCAAAAAGTCAATAAAAAATGTTTATCATATTTTGAACAGTTTCACGCAATTAGATGCAGAATATGCGTTTCGTTTTTTTTATTGAACTCATCAGTTGAATATACTTCTCTATTCTGTAGTGAACACTTTCAACTGAGACTTAAATCTACTAACAAAAACTATTCTTTCGTTTTGCTATTCATATCATAAAAAGACCAGTTCGCCTTTTTTGTGTTACCTGGTCTGTAAGACAGGAGTGAAATCATTAGTGTTATATATATATATATATATATATATATATATATTATTTTGTCTACTTGTCTTTTTTTCAATCTATTTCAATATCATGGAATTGTTGGGACAACAATGAATGTTGAAATTTTATGATTACGAATAAAACTTGCTTTCAGTTTCGACTCGTTATGAAGACCGCGCTCAAACTCCAACTGTTATTTGTTGACTATGCTGAAATGAATGCAATGATTTTTGTTAAATCTGTAGAAGCATATCATGCAAATACGCGTAAGTTACCGTGGTTGTTTTAATTTTCCACTACTTTATTTATTGTCTTCCAGACTACTTGAACCATTGATTTACCTCAAGTGAATATACTGTTTTTCATCTTATTGTAGTTCGACGGTCAAAATAGTTGGCACTTCATTACTAAGTTATTAGCATCCACTATAATCTGTCTCAAAATGAGGCTAATCAACAAATACCGTTACCACCTAAAAAAATCAGAATCCGAGTCTACTGAACAAGATAGTATTTATAAAGAAAAAGAATTTGTGGAAACTATCCACCTTTTCACAAACAACTGTAGAACTACTGAGAGATATGAAGTATATGAAGGTTATTTTGCCATACACTGGGGCTCCTCAGAAATGCTTCGTGACGACCTCGTCAGAGATCGAACCCAAGACTCACAAAACTCGCCACAAGAGTGGCACTTTTAGAATACATAGTCAACATCTAGTTATCCACATGTAAAAGTTCAGTCAATTCATGGTATTGTGCAAGGATCAACCGTTCGCATCCCAGTCTAAGCGAATGATACGAGCTTACTCAGGTTTGTATATTGCTATGCTACATGAATGTAGGTGTAAGTCAAGACGAAGTCGAATTACTTAATGTTGAAGTTGCATGTGCTGTTTTCACACATCAGCAGAGTGTGTAAAGGATGTAAATAAATTTAAATATTGTAAATCCTATTTGAAAGAACAAAATTTAGAAACGAGTTTTTCTGTATCAAATAAATGTTATTAGTAAGCTCAATTAATTAACTGTCTAGAAGACAGTCAGAATAAAAAAGACTCAACAGTGTGTTTCACCAAGAAAAAGAGCTTAACAAAGTGTTAAGATTTAATGAAGAAATGTTTCTGTCATTGAGACAGAAGAGAACTAACAAACATCTTTTTGTAACATTGGATTATTTGTAATTGCTTAAGTTCATATTCCACATTTTAAATTCAACATATCATGGAAAAGTGGACATAGTAGACCGAGAAGTTTAATATTTATGTAATGAACGAACACAAAGGTGGGGACAACCAATGCATATTTGTACAAAACTACAAAATCTCTTCGTAAAATATAAGAACCATCCATCGAATACTACATTTGCGAATTTCCGTCATTTGTCCTTCACATTTCGTATGGTTTTTCCGATTTACAATTTCTTTCTAATTCCGATTCTGTTTTCTTCAACTTGATCTTCATAGCCTTCTGTTGCTAGGTTTTCCACTTCTGATTAGTACTACATACTACTTATGTCGACAGATATAAGTAGCATACACTACATATATATTGCTTATGAAAATTTAATATATAATATCGTGGATTTTTACACAGTATCTGTGTATGCAAAATCATACGTTCTCGTCAGTTGTGAAAATTATTCAACTCCTCTACAATCAGCAGTTGACTATTTGCCACTATCTAGATGATTTGACTTTAACAAGTGCAGATGAATTCCTATCCTTATCTTATGAATTAAAAACCAACTGGTCAAATCAATTTCTCAGAGTTCGGTGCTGTTTGCCTGTGTAAACGTATACGTAAATTGTAAAAATTAAGCTAAATGTATGTTCTGAGCACAAAGAAAGAATTATAAATATTGATTTTTCACGTTGAAACACGTTCAAATAGTTGGATCCATTTGAACTGATCAAACTGATTTATTTTCTTTGTACACTTGATTGTCTTTAATGAATCTGAACAAAATAGCCTGCAGAACAGTTACTATGTATTCATATGTATGAATTTCGTTCGCATTCATTTCAGTTATGTAAAATCTACCATGAATAATGTGAAAATGAAACAGGAAATTGACAGTTCATTAGTGAATAACTGGAAAGCTTTTAAAGTAAAAAATTATTGTAAGTTCACTTATCGACATTAAGAAGTTAAAGCACTAACACTCCATTAGGTTCAGTGAAATTTAATTGATTCAAGTGTAAAAGCAGAATGTAGACTTTCAGCTTGATAGTTTAAATGGTATTTAAGAAATTTCATCCAGTATACAAAAACAGAGTATTAAACTGAACGATCTCTATCGATAATTTCTTCATCACACTTTATGTTCTTGAAGCACCTGGCATGAATTCAAAGAAACCTAACTTATGTTTACAAAAATGATACATACAGCTTGTTTGTTTATCTCGGCCCTTTCCAATTGTGCCTCTTCTACCTTTATTATGATTTTCACTCACTTCAACGACATTTTTCATATCCTTAATTATGCATTAATCTTTCTATTTTAATAATAATTACAATTATTGACACCACAGTATTGAACATAGATTAAGTTTTCATTGACTACTTATTCAGAATCCGTATTATTTGAATAATTCCAGAAGCAAAACATTTTAACATTTACGTGTGTTGTTTTACGTAATCAAAAAGTCACCTATTTCTCATATTATATGAAGTTGTAGTGATAAGTGGATGGGACTTATATTAATGTAGGTAGAAATTGGAACCCAGGGCTCTCGTCTCGACCTATTTGGGAATTGCCAGCCAGATATACCTGCACTCAAGTGTTGTTCGAATCTAGTACCTGTTACTACAAACTCTCAACGCTGTATCTGCTTAATTCACATAATCATTGACATGTTCAACGGGGAGGGGTAATTCTTATATGAAGAAGATAGAATGTAATCCAGTGAAGAAAATTTTCTTTTCGACGGTTTCATTTACTCAGGCTGTACAATCATATTTATAGATAATTTTGTTCAATAACTGAAAAATCTTTAAGTGGTATCTTGTCATAAACCGAAAATCATAAATTCAGATGAAGTTATGCAATAATCGACTAAGGGAAATATGATAAGTTGAAGATACTTATTCGCTTGATAGCTCATAAGATCAGAATAATTAAAAGTTGTAATGATTGCTAATCAATAACTGTCAAACAATTGGAGAGGGGTATAAATAATAAGACTAAAAAAACGATCAGTTATGGAAGATAGAAAGGGGGGGTTGAGACCATGAAAGGATCAAGGACTGTGCATACTGCAAAAGTTGGGCTTAAACCATCGTATAGCAATAACCTCTGCTGTTCATAGGTTTTTCATCTGCATTCTCATAGAGCCGACTTTTTTAATGTACGTATGATTTAAAGGAGGCTTCTGGTGAAGTGAAGTGACCAGAATGAACTAGATACTCCAAGATTGAATTTTTGACTGACTTCTTTAATCATTTGGAAAGCCAGGAAGGGCAATGTTTTGAGATGTGTTTCAAAACCGTTCACTTTCTGCGGCCACTATAACCTGCTCCGCATGACCAAGTAAAGTAATAGAGTCGGCCCAAAGCGACACCTTATCATTCACGCAACTACGAATCATATGCCGACTAGAAAAGATAGTGCGAAGTTCGGCGGAATAGAACATTTTTTCTTAGAGATCGTGAAAGGCTGTGTTGTTTAGAATTTCTGCTGCAGTATCTACTTTAGACTGATTGTTCATGAAGGGGGTCTTCATTGGTGCTTTTTGGACACTCACACTTGTTTTGACTTCTAATTTTTCTCATTGAATCTAGATGGATATCCATTGTTGATCACTTTCTTCCGTACTTTATCAAGTTCGATATCGACCATCTTCTCGATACAGATACGTCTAACGCATATATAAGAACTGTTTGAATCCTTTATTTGTTCATATGGTGAACGGCAGTTCGTCAGCTTCTTTTGATATATGTTCACTCTGAGCTGATTGCCTCGATACTGTCATTAAGTCATAAATTTGTAATATTGTTAAATGAGCATTGAAAATGATAGTCATCCTCTCCAAAGCACTTGTAAATTCCGTTGTAACATGCAAACCGAGATCAACCTATGGCTAATAGATACTGATTATAGATTTGTATTAGTTAAATTATTCAATATTTTGCGTGATAAGTTTATTTCACTCTGTTTTAAAGCTAATGACATATGTCTTTTGAAAGCGTTTCTTCCGTATATTCCTAAGTAATCTATTAATTAGTACTAGACTAGTCCATTATATTTAAGGCATACTTTATGATATAATGGCCAATAATAGTAAAAAAATTAGACCTAGTTAGTGAGAGTGGAATTAGAACTCACAACTTACAAATCGAAAGTCACTTGCCTAAACAACCTGGACAGATCCGATAATGTTTTATGATTATGAAATGTACATTATTGTATTTTTTTTTCTTTGATGGTCTAAATACTTTTTTGCTGAATGAAATATCTTATGTTCTTAATTAAAATTGATTTTTTCTATTGAATGGTTGTTAATCTTTTAAATTTACTGCAAAATTCCAAAGTTAGTGCATACCTATATAGGTACTATTACTGATTTTCATGTTATCTGTTCGCACCATCGTAATTAGTGAAGTTTACTTTATGTAACTCTTAGTTTTCAATCACCGAGTCCTGAATTCTAATTCCTCCTCATCTATAGTACCTTGTTAAGCATTATGGTAGCATTTTTAACGTTTGGTCATTGAACAAAATGTATAACAAACACCGAGTAAAATGTACGTGAATGGTATTTCAATGTAGTTTACTATGTTCACTAACAAGATAAATAATTTTATGAAGCTTATGTATTATATAAAATCTATTTTCATCTTTGACAAAACTGATATCAGTTGGAAAATCACTGAAATATTTAAAGTTCTGAACATTAGACAGGGATTACTGTAGGCCGCAAATTGATCAAACATGAAAATGCTTGCCATTTAATCCCAACTTAATAGTTTTAATATATCTCGTTTACCACAAAACTTCCTAATTAAAACTCATATGTATGCTAGTGGGAGTGCCTGCTGCCTCTCGCTCTTTCTCGGTATCTCCCAAACAGGACGATCTAACTCTTCGTTACTTTCTTATTTCCATTGCATTCCAGATGATTTCATTCCGTAACGAAATTTTTGTTCAAATTACTTTGTGTTCGTGCTGAGTTTATCAAAATAAAACTTTCTTTAGAAAAAATTGCCATTATTTACTTACTTAATCACCATCATTAATTAATCTTGTGAACAACTTAGTAATCCGT